TTCAATTATTAGTGTTCTTCTGCTGTGAATTACACTCTAAATTGAACGCTTTATGAACTCTAAGTAGGGACTGCTCAGATTTGCAACTTTCAACTTTTTTGCGAGTGGTTCTGGCGTTCTAATTTAGATTTCGCGCAATTTTTGCAAATTTCACACACTAACAAAGTGATTTTTTCCTGTTTTCCTGTTTTTTTGCTCCCCAGCATCCTTCAGGCTGTAAGTGGTCCAGATCAAGATTATAACCGGATTTGCGTCTGCTCGTCTGCGTGGCTTAAATTTAAAAAGCCAATAAATTGCATTGAGTATTTTTGAGAAAAAATATGAGTATTTAGGGAATTTTAGCGATTTATTTTGTAGAAGTAGATGGCAACCAGGGTTGTAGTTTTTCTTTGATACTTGATTCTTTTATTTTATACGGCTTTTTGCCGATTTTATATTGCGGTTTTCTTTAAATGAATTAAACTTATTTTTTGTTTTCTAGGTATTTTTGATTTTTTAAACATTTTTTTGCAGCTTTGAATTATTAATATTTTATTATGTCATTTAGGTACTTATTTTGCTAACATATATTTTTTTCAGGTAAAACAGGTAACTCTTTAAACTGCTTTTATTTACTAATGACCACTTTTCCTTACAGCTTTGATCCGTTTATGTTAAAGGATCAACTTTTTCCCTCTCTGGGGGAGTCATCACTTTGTCGTTAGTGAGAGGGCCTAGTAGCCTTAAATCCGGGGAGCGATGCCGGCGACAGCGTAGCTACCAGCGACAAGGAATTATTACTTGTCTCTGATAGCTACAAGTACGCCGGTAAGTTCTTGAAGCGATTAAGGCGAAGCTAAGAAGACTCCCATGCAGCGTCTCCATGTTAGCGGGCGATCCAAGCATTCACCAACACGCTCGGCGAGCGTGACCTTTCAGAAGTGCTAGAAGAAGTTTTAGAAGTTTTTAAGTGATAGAACCTCGCAGAAAATGAAATGTCGAACCTTGGAGTCCAAAACTCACACTGAATCTGAAGGGAGAAACAGTTCGAAAAAGGGACCACGAGAAAAGACCCTTAAAACTCATTTAACCTTTACATATTCTACTAATAACTATTTATAGATCAACTCGAAGAGTTCGAAGAAGAACTCAACCATATAAAGGCAATAAACTTGTTGATCACATTATGTTGGTATTGGTGTTTAATCGATAACATTATTTCGAGTAAAGATTAGTACATATTTCTATAAAATTTTAAATGCCGTCCCGCCTTTAAAACATTTCTATTTCACTTCTACTGGGTGTGACCAAGACATCGAGCTTCAAATGGACAATATTTCACTCAAATCTAAGTAAAAGCTGATTTTTTCGGGGATGCTAAACCCTGAAGTTTAAAGTTGCACTGTTTATCAAATGCCAGCCGGCCTTAAAAAGACTTCTCAGAAAGCTCTTTCACTCAACTGTTCGCAGAAAACAACGGAGCCGAATTTAAATAGACAAAATTTTACTCAAATCCAAGCAATTTGTCATCATACATCAAATGCTGCTCACCTTTAAAAAAATATCAGATAACAACGGAATCGAGTTTAAACACAGAGCAAAGACAATGTTTCACTCAAATCCAACCGAAGTACGATTTTTTTTGGGCGAAAAAGTTTTTAAATTATCATTAATAAATTGAGTAAATTAAAATAAATGGCACTTACTAATTATGTATGGAAACATTCACAGAATGGTGATATACCTTGGAAACTGAAGCAGTTTTATCCCCCATTTTCACTTTTTTAAACCGTTTGTATGGCACGAAGTATTTTAAAACGTAACAAAAGTCAGTTGACTTTCGAAAAATAACAACATTAGGACTCATAACCACAAATAAACAGCAAAGCAGATTACAGTTAATATATGATTAAGAAGACCAATTTTAAAGTTGATTTAGCACCGTCGCTAAAGGCCGTCAATAACCAAGACATTTTCAGAAAAAATATTATTTGAAATGTACGTCAGTTCTTTAAATATTATAATTTGTAATTTAAATAAAGAAAAGACTATTTAACAAGCACGTCAACTTCAGATGTTTTCAGATACTCGTCTTTATCTATGGGTGCATACATAGAGTAAGTAAAATAAGATAAATAAAATAAAAATAATAATAATATTTTACTTTCACTATGGGTGCATAGAGCAAGGCTTATGGCTATGTGTCAGTGTCAGTCAGCTGTAACACATTTTGTTGGTAAATTGGGCTCCTCGTTGATAAAACAATGATTATATCCTTAATTTCAGAAGCACCATGAATATTGGGGACTATATTTTCTCTAGTGTCCGTTATTGAAGGTCATTTTTAGTTTCGTTCGAGCCTTTGCTTTTTAACTGCAATCGAATTTCAATCGGCATAACCTGAAAATGGTGTCACAACTACCAATTTTTGGTAAGTATAATATATATCTGTTGTTACAGTATGAACAAGTTCCACATTATTATTCATTGAAGTTTGTTTTACACTTATAAAACTCATAAAATTTCCATTAAGGCCATTTATGTCCCGAACAATGTAGTGTTCTATTTAAACGATCTGCTGATTTTAAGCCCCTGAACATATGTATTTCAGCTAGAAGTTCCGCAGGAATACTTGGATTTTGTGGGCCGCCTAATTTTGGCTCTCTAAGCGGGCTCTCTCCAATTGAAAGCAGGTCATGTAAAACCTCACTGTTTAGCCCTGACGGGTCATATCTTGCATATGCTAATGAGGCAACGTAGGTTTTTTACATCGAAATCTTTCAAGGCATATATACCGACATTTTCCATAGAATAACCGTTTTAAAAACTGATGACTGGAGTCCAGTGGCAACTATTTTGGATACTAGGGCATATAGCTTGGCATTTTCCCCCAAGGGTACTTTTCTGATGACCTGGGAACCATTTGCCGTTAGCAATGCCAATCCTCAAGGAAGTCCGAACTTGAAACTCTATAAGACAGACGGAGGTAAACTTATCAAGAGTTTCACTCAAAAGAAACAAGGCAACTGGGAACCTCAATGGAGCAACGACGAAAAACTTTTCACCAGGCTGGTCAATACCGATATTGTCTTTTATGAGGATTGTAATTTTGAAAGGATTGTAACCAGACTCACAGGGCATAAAGTGATATCCTATAAACTATCTCCAAACGTTGGTACTTACTTTCTTTTATGCCATACTTTAGGGCCTCCAGGCCAGCCATCATTTGGCAGGTATATGCGATAATAAGTGTTCGATTCCCACCGTTATTTAATGTGTTTCAGATTATTCAAATACCCCGAATTTGACAATCAGCAAGCAATTGCCAATAAAAGCTTTTTTCAAGCTGATAAAGTGGATTTCTTATGGAACTCCAAAGGAAATAATGCTTTGTTGTTGACTTCCACGGAGGTAGACAAAACAGGGGGTTCTTATTATGGAAAGCAAGGCCTGCATTTCATAGGCCTAAACGGGCATACTTCTATGGTCACTATGAGTGAGTCAGAAAAGGAGCAACTACATATCAACAATCAGGCAATTGGCAATTTTTTTTAGATAAAGAAGGTCCAATTTACTCTGTAGAGTGGTCACCAAAAAATCAGGAATTTTGTGTCGTGTACGGGTTTATGCCTGCAAAAGCTACAATATTCAATTTAAAATGCGAACCGTGTTTTGATATGGGAACTGGCGCAAGAAACTCTATTTACTACAACCCCCATGGAAATATCCTACTTTTGGGAGGTTTCGGCAATCTTCGTGGCCAAATAGAAGTATGGGATGCAGTCAACAAGAAGAAAATAGGTCAAAATTTACAACATTTTTCAAGTATTAATCTTTCAACAACACTACAATTGTTTAGCTAGTTGTGATGCACCAGACTCAACGTTTTTGCAATGGGCTCCCGATTCTGAGCATTTCTTAACTGCCACAACAGCGCCCAGATTGAGAACCGCAAATGGCTTTAAAATTTGGCATTATTCGGGCGCTCTCCTGTATGAGAACAACTGGCCTCAAGGGGAAGAACTATATGAAGTCCAGTGGAAGGCGTTTCCAAAACTGACGTTCAAAGAACCGGAAATTTCAGGCAAAAAAGTTGAAGGAATTGCTCCGAGCCAGCCTATTGCTTCTAAACAGGCCTACAGACCACCTTCAGCAAGAAACAGGGCTGTTGTCACCTTTAAATTGCACGACGACGACGAGGAAGCTCATACAGTCGGTAAATAAACTTTGAATAGTAATTTTAGCTATGAAGCTAATTGTCTTCATACTAAAGGGTCAAATAATGCTCCATCCAAACAAGCCCTAAAATATAAGAAAAAGAGAGAGGCCAAGAAAGCCAAGCGGAATGAAGATGCAGATAGCAACAAAGAAGGCTCAGTTCCAGTTGTAAGTAACATCAAGCTGAACCTGACTGGAGATCCTGAAGTGGATAAAAAGCTGAAGAACATTAAAAAGGTGATAGTTCCGAATATCGGTTTATTTCTAAGTGTCAATTCAAATGAAATTTCTAGAAATTGGATGCCATAAATAAGCTAAAGAAGGAGCAAGAATCCGGAAAAATGCTCGAAGCCAATCAGTTAACGAAAATTCAGGCAGAAGAAGAGTTGCTAACGGAACTAGAAAAGTTAAGTATTTGAATCAAATTAAAAATAAATAAATTGTGTTAAAAAAGAATCAGATTTTTATCCCATTTCCATATTAATTGAAGCGGTTTAGGTTTTGCACACGAAAGCGACAGTCAAATTTGTTGCTTAGTGTAAAAAGAAAGATGTTTGTGAAATTCAAGAAGAAAAACGACATGTTTAATAATGGATTTTATTCTATTTATAACTGGCTTTAGTTTGAGGCCTAAAAATATCAACAAAAATCTGTAGAAAAATTAACAAAAACAATCGAAACAATTAACAGAATAAAGTGTTACCTTGTATAAGGTTTACATTTGAGTGCTTGCGGCCTTCACAGACAAACGTTCTGCTTTTGGTCTTAAAAAGAAATTAAAAATGCCTTGAATATCAATGAAGATGAATGAAAGAACTACCATTTACTTAGTCGCTTCGTGAACGGCGTGAGCGAGATAATCTACGTTTTTGCTGGTCACTCCAGCCATGGAGATGCGACCGTCTTTGGTCAAGTAAATACTGAAATCTTTCGTTAGCTTTTCCACCTGAAAACAATGGGAAAATGGAAAATGTTTCTTTGAGCAGCTGAATTTTTTAAAGTTGCTTACTTGTTGAGGATTCATTCCAGTGAAACAGAACATTCCAATTTGGTTAGTGATATGTTCCCAGTTTCTGGTCGAGCCTTCCTTCTTGAGATTGTCGCGAAGTGTGGTTCTAACGGAGATTATTCTGTCTGCCATCCCTTTAACTTCTTTCAACCTAATTTAAAAAATATTTTCTCTTATCGTAATACAGAAATAAACAGTTATAGTATATGGTCATTTTTGCGCACTTCTCAAAAATAAGTCGCGGGATATATTTGCTCGGGGTTCCTACTTGAAGAAGTTTAATGCATTATTTTTGCATTGTAAACATTTCAAGTAGCTTGTTGGTCTAGTTCAGAAGTTTTGATTTTTTTTATAGAGCGCCATATGTGACCTATATTTGTTCATTATTTCTTTTTGCCGTTAAACATACCAATCTGATCTAAGTTGAGGGTCGCTGAGAATTTCAGTGACTATTCTAGCACCGTTTATGGGTGGATTTGAGTACAGTGCTCTAATCAGGATTTTGATTTGAGACATTACGCGATCGGCTTCGTCTTTCGAATCGGAAATGATGCTGAAAGCTCCGGCTCGTTCACCATAAAGCCCCATGTTCTTGGCGTAGCTCTGGCATAAGGAGATTAAGTGCCCTTCTTTGACAAAAAGGCGAACCTAGAAGAGCAATTTTATTAATAATAATACAAGTTAAAATGAGGTTTAAAGTAAATAATCTTACGGCGTAAGCATCATTATCAACGCTGCCAGTGGCGAATCCCTGATAGGCCATATCAAAGAATGGGAATAGATTTTTCTTCTTGATTAGGTTTGATAATTCGGCCCATTGCTCCTTGCTAGGATCCACTCCTGTTGGATTGTGAGCGCAGGCATGCAGCAAAATTATTGATTTTTCTGGGATTTTCTTGAAAAAAAAGATATTTCTGTGAAGAACGCAATCAATCAACAATAGCTAAATGTTTATTAAGCTGAGAAGAATCGAATTTATTTGAATGGCTTGAAGGCTGCAAAAAGTGAATTGTAACCCATTTTTGAAGCTGAGAAGCTAATAAATCATTTAACGTTTTTTCGTTTTAATCAAGTTACGTATTTTCTTTTTTTTTTCGGGAAGTGGCAAACGTGAAACTTGTTCTTCAACTGCCCTTTATTCACGGTCTTCCACATCTTCCTAAGGGTGAGTGAACTTTTTATTTTTACTTCAATAAACAAGGCTCGACGTGAGCTTTAAAAGGTGGTCTTTGAGGCGCTTGCTATTTTACTTTTTAACTTGAATACGGTTTAACCTGCTGTTGTATTTCTTGTACTCTCATTGATAAAACTATTAGAAAATTTACATGCAAAATGACCAGTAATATTGCCTTAGTTAAATGCATGAATTTTAAATCTTATTAATATCAACTGATTAAACAAATCAGGTATTGAATCTTATCTTAAACTGTACTGATGCATTCATTGTTACGTAATCCCGGTTTGCGCTAAAAAGGGATTCTTATGAGAAAAAATACTTACTGAAATGTCTTCAAGAGCTCCAGCAAAATCAAGTCCGCATGTTTTCGGATCGTAATACCTGTAAGATTTAACGTCCAAGCCTGCATGTTTAAAAATGGGTGTATGGTTTCCCCAAGATGGAGAAGGCAAATAAACCACCTTGTTAGCCGGGAAAAAGTTGCTTAACAAAGCAGCCCCGACTCGCAATGAGCCTGTGCCGGAGATGCCCTGAATGGTGGCATTTAGGCCATTTTGTACCACTTCGGAACCTTCTCCAAGTGCCAGCTCTATGCTGCGCTTGCAAAATTCGGCAGTGCCCCCAATCGGGGCGTATTCTTTGTCCAAATTCTTGGCCCGCAGCTTCTCTTCGGCTTTCCGAACGCAAGGCAACACATAGGGCTTACCATCGTCATCCCGATAGGCTCCGACCCCCAGGTTGATTTTTTTGGGATTAGTATCCCGCCTGAAGGCCTCAGTCACTCCCAGGATGACATCGGGGGGGCCCATCTGGACTCCCGACCACCAAGAACTGAAACATTTAGGTTGGGACTCTTGTAGGTCATTCAGGTCATAGTTGGATGATCGTCAAATTAATTACCTGGCTCTTTGAGTAACACAAGCAATGCCATTCTTGCTCTGCAGGAACACTACTGACTTTTTCAACGACATAGTTTGTTTAAACAATTTTTTACTGTTGTCTACGTGCCACGATCCAAGTCTGGGTGCACCCACAGCAGTTAGCGGTTACTGAAAAACACGAGTTGCTGAATTGCCACGAGAAGCGAAAAACAAGTTTATTTTAAGAATTTCGACGTAATCTTCCAATTTCGTGTTTATCAGCGGCTTGTGATACTAATTAGAATTTTGCGGCTGACGTTTTCACTAATTACTTGGTATATTAGGTTAGGTTAGTATTGGGGCTGTGGCGGCTGCTAGATATACACAGTATATTTTGGCGCGCAGTTTGGCAAACGTGCGTCATTTTCAACTCCGGGTTTCCTCAGGTTAGACAGAGTGGATAGAGTCTGCCCTTGTCTAACATTTGTCGTGCACAGATGTATGATGAAAAAAGCGGCGTTGTCAACATGAAAATAATGTTTGAGTCCTGGTGCTTTTTTAGAGGTATACAGGGTGATTCAAAGTTCATGTCGTTTGTCTGGAGGGGCGGTCTGGGGGATTGGAAAATACAGACTAAACATTAAAAAAGTGTTTTACTGATGAAACTCTAAATTCGCTACTCTAAACGTTTCAAAACAGCAGTACTATCACAAAGCTGCGCAACAGTTAGTTTTGCATTCATAACCTCACTTCACAACATCAGTTTTCTTTGCTTAAAATAATATTATTCAACAAGCTGCGTGTACTCAGCAAAGTTTTCCCAGATTTGGAAAAAGTACCGTTTGAATATCGGCTTGAAAACTCGGCACTAGCGGTAGTTTGGGCAGCATTATAGCTTATAATATGTAAAATAAAGCGACAAAGAGCTGAACATTGCAAAATAGAGAGATTTACTCATTAAAGCCTTGATTTTTGAGCTAGAACTGAACTGGTCAATGAAAGCCAATGCGACTCCGTTACTCCATCCGAAGCCCAGCTGAACTTCGTATTCGCCACCTCCCCCATATTGCCCTGGATAGATCGCATCGTATTTTTCATACATCGCGCCATCAGTTTCAAATCCTTTCATATTGGCGCTAATCCATCGATTAGCAAATTCCTTTGCTACGCTTTGGGCTTCAGAGTCTCCAGATTTGTGCAATCCTAAAAAATTGCGCCCTTAGTTAAACTTGCCAGTTCCTTCAATTCAATTTCCTCAATCCTCACCAAGCACTACAAACTCTTGAAGCGGAGGCCAAGCGTTTGGTAAGTCCCACTGTTCTCCACTTTCTTCGAGGGAAGTTGGTATTCCGCCCTGGAACAATTCAATTTCGCTCTTGCGGAAATACTTAACCGCCTTGCTTCCATACTGCTCCTTGTTCTCCTCTCGGTAACATTCGGCCCACAGTGGGGCGAAATTACTGGCAAAAAAGTACTGTCTTTGCACTTTCATATCGTAGTCAAAATCGTACCAAATCCCATCCGCATCATTATACAAGAGTGTTTCTATGCTGTTGCGCCATTCAAGGGCTCGGTTCGCCCATAGGTTCTGTTTAGAAACATTGCCAATTTTTCCATAAAAATCCGCCAATAGCCCGAAGGATTTGCAGAGAAACGCGTTTAAATCAACCGGGATGACTCTTTTGCTGTCGATGGAGGAGAGGGTTGCATTGGTTCCTCCCTGTTCGTCAAAAATCCAACGTGTTGAAAAATCCCAGCCGGTTTCAGCTGCAGTTTTCAACGCATTGTAACAACCGCGCTAGAATAACAAATATGGAGTTTTTGTATGTTCTTGTTTGGTAAAAATTGCCGACGTTTTGGCCGATTTATTTATATTCTAAGGGCGCGCTGCAAAATCTGTAAAGATATTTATTCGCTTTTGAACTTTAATGAAAGAAAACAGAAAGTAATATTTTGTCTAAAATTTTCCAATTTTCTACATGTGTATTGCTGCGTCGGTTGAAGAACGTGACCGATCAAATCCGCTTAAAGTGGGCAAAAAATGTCAATAATTTTGGATCTGAAGCTTTCAGCGTGTTTTTCGCTTCTTTAAGAAAATGTTTCGCGCACAAATTTAAATTTTAAATGAATGTTTTTGAATTCATTCATTCAAGGATGGCGCATGATTATTGCAAAATTTTATGTTTTCCGTCCCGTTTTGCATGTTTCTCGGAAGCAAAATGAGCAAGAACGCTCGTTTCTACATCATTCCAAAGATAACTAAATGGCCTTTATTCGAAGTTTCTCAAGAACCATTCGAGCCACAGAATTCGTTTTGGTATCGTTGGATAGAGAATTGAAAAGTCCATTCAGTCGTAACAACGTGAGTGAGGAAATTCGAGTAGTTTTGACCCAGAAAGCAAAATTTCAATATCAGACACTTAGGTGCAAGATTATGCCAAAATTCCATGTTTTCCGTCCCGTTTTTGCTCATTTCTCGGAGGCGAAATGAGCAAGAACGCTCATTTGTACATCATTCTAGACAGAAATAAATGGCCTTTTTAGAAAGTGAACCATGTATAAATAGAAAGTGAACCATGCAAAATCCACTTGAACATGACGCTGCTTTTTTCGAAGTTTCTCATGAACCATTCGAGCCAGAGAATTCGTTTTGGCATCGTTGGATAGAGAATTGAATGGGGGGGGGGGTCATGCCCCCCCTTGGATCCCCCTTGGTTAGAGCCTACAGTAAAGTTAAGAAAAAAAGTCTCTTAAAGAACGTGATTGATCAAAAATCGCTTAAAATGGCCACACATTTCAATAATGTCCAATGTTAAGCTTCTGGTGTGTTTTTAAATAAGCGCTGTGTATTTATCGCCTCCTTGAGATAAAAATTGTGAAGAATTTGAGATATTTTGAAAAACCTGATTTTTTTAAAATCACATATCAACATTTTACATGCGGGTTTTTTAAACCCCATGGATTTTTCAGCTCTCCAATATGCAAATATAAAGTGTTTGGGTCTGTCTGCCCGTAAAAGAACGTAACCGATTAAAAACCGGTTAAATAGGTCAAAAAAATGGATTATTTCGGATCTGAAGTTTCTAGTGTGCTTTTTAAAGGGTTCTCTTTACTCCTCCTTCCTTTCAAGTGAAAATAATGTTAAATTCGAGGCGCGTTGAAGAAGTCGAGGTTTTTTTTTTTTAAATCAACATCTTCTCTTTATGAAATTATCGGTTAGAAATCATGTTCGGTTTTTGAGCTCAATGGATTGTTAGCGGAAAAATGCGCTTTGCGGATTAGTTCCGACCTAAGAAGTTCCCAATATGCATACAGGGTGTCGCAATAAGGATGGTAAGCGGCTGTATCTTGGAAAGTATGTGTAGTAGAGTAATCGAAAAAAAAATTTGATAACTAAATTGACAAAAAGAATTTGCTGGAAATTATTTTGAAATTTTTCAGATGACCACTACATGGCGTAATTGCAAACGGTATTTTAAAAAGTCGATTTTATACATAAATTGTCCCTATAAGTGAAAGATCTAGTAAATTTAGTCAAAAGATCCTTAAAAGCCGTACTATTTTCCTTACGGACTTTTATCCTAACTTGTCAAATAATTGAAACAATTGAAAGAGCAATAAAAACTCTACAATATGTGATATAAAAGCAATCTTAATCATTTTCGGAAAATCCGCTGCTCGAAAAAAATTATTATTTTAATTTTTCATTCAAAATTGCTGACTTTAACCGACGATACCTTCTTACTATATACTCAAATGTCTTACATATATATTATCTTCTATATCGTCTTATACATATACAGGGTGTCGCAATAAGGATGGTAAGCGGCTGTATCTTGCAAAGGGTGTGTTGTAGAGTCATCGGAAAAAAAATTTGATAACTAACTTGACGAAGAGAATTTGCTGGAAATTATTTTGAAATTTCTCTATAAGTATAAGGAATTGTCCCTATAAGTGAAACATCTAGTAACTTTGAGAATAGTGAGAAAAATAAAACAACATTTTTTCTTCCAAAGCCTACTTTAATTATTTGAATTAGGCAACCTTTATTATTTTCAAGTATTCAATCGATTCCAGAAATTATTTTAAGATGCGGTTTTTGCGGTTTAGTTTACTTTTTCAAATACTTCAATCAGTTTACACGCATTTGAAAGCCTAAGAAAAAGTAAACTAAACCGCAAAAACCGCATCTTAAAATAATTTCTGGAATCGATTTAATACTTGAAAATAATGAAGGTTGCCTAATTCAACTAATTAAAGTAGGCTTTGGAAGAAAAAATGTTGTTTTATTTTTCTCACTATTTCCAAAGTTACTAGATGTTTCACTTATAGGGACAATTCCTTATACTTATAGAGAAATTTCAAAATAATTTCCAGCAAATTCTTTTCGTCAAGTTAGTTATCAAATTTTTTTTCCGATGACTCTACAACACACCCTTTGCAAGATACAGCCGCTTACCATCCTTATTGCGACACCCTGTATATGTATAAGACGATATAGAAGATAATATATATGTAAGACATTTGAGTATATAGTAAAGAAGGTATCGTCTGTTAAAGTCAGCAATTTTGAAACGGTTTGAAAATATACAACCTTCCAGTATTAAAGGGAGTGGGAACATTTTTTTTTACTAAAAGATAGCTTTCCAATCGTTTAATCCGCTCAAAGAGACAAGTAAATAAAAGCGCGGTTTAACTTTATAATAAATATTTCAGAAAAATTTTCGAGTTCCTAAACTAGTTGAACCAGTGACTTTTTTATGCAGGCAGTTAGTTCTGGACATGCCAAAATGTATACGCAACTTGCCAATCAAAAAATGTTTTGGGGATTTGTTTGCATTAAAAAAAATTGTTAACCAATGAAATGAGAAAAATCAATGTAAGTCTTGGCCTTTCTGACAAATAATCAAGTTCTTACCCGTGCGGTTTCACTAGTTTCATGTGCACATGTCGCAATATCCTCAGAATATGACTCCGGCCTCGGTGTGTTACTTTCCGTTCCATAATGAGCTAACATATAGCTGACGCCATTTGATGTTAGATTCAGTGTTCTACTACTAAGCCAGAAGTTCAGCTCGGTTTCAATATACTCAATATTGGCTCTTAGCCAATCCAGATCATTTGTGTAGTCCAAATAGAGGCCAACCATCGATGCGAATAAGGGCGGTTGCGATCGGTTGATGTAATAGACTCTCGAGCCGTTCGGGATTAATCCATATTGTTTAATCAGGTAGATTAGGTTGGTTAGCATTCCTTTGACTGTCTCGTGCATCTCGCTGATCAGCAAGCCTGGAATTGAGCCGGAAGAGTGTCGCATTTGAAGAGCGGTGCTTTGAGATGATGGTACCTTTAATAATCCAGTAAGAGTCCCAGTAATAGATTTCTCTAAATCGCCCTCCCGGGACTATAAACCCTTCTGGCACCGGAATAAGAGAATGGCGTGTTGGGTTGTTGTTGACGGAGCTGCGAATTTTTCTGCCAAGCTGTGGCCAAAAAGACACCAGAGATTTGGCAAAGTTTCTGATGTTTGGGTCCGAAATTTTCTCCAAAAATGCGGGATTTTCATTGAAGTCGGGAGGCGTCCACGATTCCTAGATGGCAGATTGATTTATTGCATTAAGCGCAGCTATTCACTTACAGTTTCGTTTTCAAACACAAAGTTGTCGTCGACGAACTTTTGCACATCATCCTTTGAGGGAGTGTTATTGGTAGATGCCATCATCGCTTGAAAGTTCGCCAAAGTGACGCTCTCATCATTTCGCTGGCTCATATCGACGAACGTTTTCGAATCTGCATACAATTCCTGTTTCTGCACTGTATCCAACAGATCGCCTTGACAATACACCATACTCGAACAGGAGTGAACCTCTTCAGTTGCTCGTTTCGCTCTCCTTCCCACCATTCTGGTAGTTTCAATTGTTGGGCCTCTTGGTATAACTGAAGCATGCGAATGCCATACGCAGCCCAGAAAAGAGACTAGAGTGAGTATGAGCATTTTCAAATGCGTTAGCTTCACCTGAAATTATAAACTTACATTAGTTGCTTAAAATGTGCATAACTGGTTTCACTTACCTTTAACGTTCCAATAAAAAAGTGGTCATTAAAAAGTTGACTAATTGAACGTGGTTTTCGTACGAACTTTGTTGCGAATTTAACTACGACCAGCAAACTGCTTTACTGATAAGAACAATTTCCATCTAAATTATTTCATTTCCATCTTAAAGTTATTGAAGGGAATTGCTTAATAAATCCTAGATTATCATTTATTGTACCGATTACATGCTATTAGTGTTTTACAGTGGAAAATCCTGTTTGCGCAACAATCTGATCGTGAATGTATGTATTCACGAGCCAAATTAAAATATTTTCATAATTATAATCATTCACATTTAATTGGAATCAACGTTCAATCTTACCTCTAACAATAGTGAGAATCATACAACTTTAATGCCAAAATCATCCTCAAAACTGACATTGTTATGATGTTTTCGTCAAATTTTTGTAAAATCTACAGGGTGTGATGCTATAAAAACTGTCATCTACGTGTTTTTCTTAATAGTAGTGTATTGGAGTAAAATTTTCATTAAGAAAGTGTTCCGTTAAAAAATGTTGACGTCATATCCAGAGAATCAACGAAATTCCAAAAAAGCAAACCACTTTTTAAATCATAAACTTGGGTTTTGCTTTTAATTTCTAATTTTGTTCTACAAATCTGTTTTCATTTTATTAAATTAATCTGGGGCTTTTGACAATTTTGCCACATTTTTCAGTTTCCACATGGTGTTTTCCCAGCTATTTCAAACAGAAAAAGAGCAAATGCAAACAGTGACTCAGTGGAAAAACTGCAAAATAAATTCAAACGTGTATAATTGCCCATAAATAAGAAAAAACTAAAGCCTTCTAAATATACAGCGAATGCATTAATAATGGTTTAATAATGCGTTGCATTTTCACTTTGAGTTCTTTGGAAAATATTACAAACACCTGGGATTTTCCCACATCAGAACGTCGATTCTGTTGCTCAAATCGATAGCTTGGCGCTGTTCTGATTGGATACAGTTGGAGATTTCCCACGAGTTTTCACAATGGCGGTCACCTACAGAAAAATGGGGAGTTTTCACGAACAAACTCCCAGAAAAAGTGCTTGATTTCGACAACAAGCCCGTTTTAATGGGATTGGAAATCAAACCCCATGGGAAATGCTATGTGTATATAAACGATGTTTTTATTTTTTCTATACATATTTACAGCAACAAATTAACAAAGAGGTAAATAAAAATCAATATAAATAAAACAAAAGTGACTAGAGTGTGCCTTTGGTATAAATTGCAAATGTTGCTTGGGAATTAGTCCGAGATAAACGAAGAACTAGAACCATCTTTATTCGTCCGGGGATCTTCTGGAACCCAGACTTTAGCGTGCATCATTCCGTTCGCGTTTGGTTCCTTGTTCCTGGACCAGGAGAGAGAATGGGCTGTGTATAAACCACCAGCACCTAAAACCGATTTATACATGAAAAAATAATTATGTTTGTTTTTCTCCACCCCACATTAACTACAAGCGCACATCACCGGAAGCAGCTGCCTAGTGTTACAAATGGCATTTGCACGGACATTCCTCATTGTCGATATTGAAATTTATAGGGGACTATTCGCCCTTTAACCTCTTTTCCATCAATCCACTCTATCGATGCCTACCTCGAACAATGATCTTCTTAGGTTCATCCTTCTGCGACGATCTTCGGTTTCCATTAAAGTACTCGGTATTTGAGTTTCTATCCGCTTTCACTAATTCGCTGAGAAAATTGATATAACCAATTGCGAGCTTTAATGTGTCCACTTTTGAAAGACGTTTTTCGTACGGTAAAGTTGGTATGTGGGCTCGAAGACCCTCAAAAGCATCATTGATGGATTGCATTCGTTTTCGTTCGCGAAGATTGGCCGCCTGTCGCTGTTGGATTTGTTGTTGAGGGCATTTGTTCTTTCTTCGATGGCGATGCGATCTTCTAAACAATAAATAATTAACTTTTTATTTAGTTTTATTGTCTATTAGTGCAAAACAGGGAAAATTATAGCAAAGGCGTCCACGATTATTTTTCCGTAATCCCCAAGATTATTAAGGCGCGATTAGATGGCGTATCAAAAAAGGATTAAGCGATGCATTGGGATCATTGGTATCTATTATGATTGAATAGGGTGTGCCAAATCTGAGCCTAATTTTCGCAAATTTGTGTTATTAAAAGTACTCGGTTTGAAACGTTGAAAAGCCTAGTTTTTCTCAGTTTTCACTGTTTAAAACATCTCAATCGCTTTTGCATTAGGACTTTTCTTTCATTAAAAGCGAGGGTTTTCTCAGAAATAAATACAGATAGTTTGAGGCATTGGATGATGAGGAAAGTGTTTTAGCTCAAATTTGGTCAAAAAATCTCAGTTTCCTCAAATAAAATTTAACTACCAATTTTGCGCTCAAATTGTCCTCCAATGGTACCTAGAAAGAGGATTTGTGGTGAGATGCAGTTAAAAATAATTAATAACAAAAATAAATAACCAAACTTAAACAAGTTTAAAATGCAAAAAAATTGCCAACTTTCTTCACGGTTTTAGTGAATTTGGAAAACTGAAATTAACAGAAATAGTGACTAATAGTAAATCAGATCAGATTTCTAAATTAAAATCCTATAAAATCAGTTTTTAGTGAAAAAAGTGAGAACAGTTTATCTTTTTAGCAACTTTAATTTTTGAGAAAAAATATCAAATTAAAGGAAACGATAATCATCATAAATATAAATTTGCGAACATACTTTCAACTTTTTTTGATAAAATTTGAAACTGCATTTTGTAACTAATGAAGGGTTTTCTTATAATTAACTTATAATTTAATGTTCCTTTATATATCTGATTGGGATTCTCATTATTTCTACAATTGAATGAATTAGTTAAAGCATCTGCGCTTAAACAAGATTCGAAGTTTTGAAGGAAGACTACTTGGATAAAGTTTTTTTACTTTCTTGATCAGAAATTTTGTGCTTTAAATACGAGATAATGCATGAAAAAATTATAAAACCTGCCTTTTCAGCGTAAAATGTTCACATAACAACTGCAGAAGAAGAGCTGAACAGATCACGTTTTACTCTTCACAAGCAAAACCCTTCAAGCATTTGCATCTAAAGTAGAATTAAAGCACGAAAAGTTGCAAAGTTGGTTATTATTTCATTCATTAATATTAAACAATTGAAAAATCAAATCTTACTCTTTGGGATTAGTTCCAACATTCTCCTGATCACTATTAAACGAATAACTCGACAAAGCCGAATCACTGCTATTTTCATCGTACAAAAACAAATCACTACTATTGGATGATCCCGTCGAACTATTGCTGTTCCCATTGCTGGAAATGTACGGACTGGCATCGAAGAAAAACTGCCGATTAACAGCGTCGATATCTAAATGGTCCATGTTAAACATTTTCCAAATTCCGCAACTTTCACATTCAAATCCCGATTCAATGCACACTTGTTATACGGTGTTTGTTCGGTAAAGAATGGCACGTGCTGGACATGTCCCAGGAACAATCGACACGTGCAGACTATTAGGAACTACTAAAAGAACACCGGAATGCGTTTCCAACCCCCTAAACCGAACAACCCGGAGTTTGTTTGTCTGGAGCTTCTCGGATTTGCCGGAACTTTGGTAGGGGTGGCTTTGCTCCGCCTATCTGCGGAGTTGTCTATCGATTTTCCCCGTTATTTACTCTTTTGCCTAGTCTAATTTTAATTATCTTTTATCTCTTGTATTTACCTGCTGTTTAATGAAGTATTTAGATCAAGGCAACAGTGGATAACTAGTAGTCGGCTGGTAAAGTATTTTTTTGGGCGCAGAATGGCCCTGGAGGTACAACCTGGGTACCAACTTTATAAATTAACGTAAGTTTCAAAGATTATCCCCAAAGCATTTCATAAGTGAGAAAAGTATTGCGCAAGTTGGTAATCTCTTTGGCGACTTGAAATTGAGCGTTTGTCTGTAACTTAAAAGAAAATTGAGAGCAAGATATTTTTTACATAATATAGTACTTTTTCGTGAGTTTTTTATAGTGTTTTCTACATACATCTAAGGGCGGATCCAGGGGGGGGGGTCTTGACCCCCCCATTCAATTCTCTATCCAACGATGCCAAAGCGAATTATCTGGCTAGAATGGTTCTTGAGAAACTTCGAAAAAAGCAGCGTCATGTTCAAGTGGATTTTGCAACTCAAAAAAAACCACGCAAATCTAAAACTTCATGAATT